ACTGTCCCATGTGTCCCCCCATGTGTCCTCAAAGGGGACCCAAGAGCCCCCATACGATCTTGACTGTCCCCAAATGTCCCCATGTGTCCCCCAGTGTGTCCTCAAAAGGGACCCAAAAGTCCTTGACTGTCCCCAAACATCCCCACGTGTCCCCCAGTGTCCCCAGATGCGGTGACACATGGGGACACCTGTGCCCCCCAGATGACACATCCCCAACACGTGCCTCCCAGCCCCACAGCTGCCCCACAACTGCCCCCCAGTCCATATTGAAGGGGGTGATGACTGCAGCGAAGGTCACAGTGGTGACACGTCCCCCTCTAGGTGTCCCCCCACGGCCCCCCCAGCCACGTACCGGTCGATGTTGAAGGGGGTGACGATCTCAGCGAAGGTCATGTTGGCAGCGATGGAGCGTGGGACCCCCACCTGGTCGATGGCGAGGTTGGGGTCAGGGGTGATGACGGTGCGCGCCGAAAAATCCACGCGTTTCCCCATCAGGTTCCCACGCACGCGGCCCTCCTTCCCCTTCAGCCGCTGCTTCAGAGACTTCAGCGGCCGCCCCGACTTCTGCATGGCCTGGGGGGATGAAGGTGGGGGTCAGACCCATAGCATCACCCCATAGCATCACCCCATATTGACCTACAGCATCAGCTCATAACGTCACCCCAACTTGTGCATGGCCTTGGGGGGGAGGATGGGGGGGTCAGACCCATAGCATCACCCCACGTTCCCCTATATTGATCTACAGCACCACCTCATAATGTCACCCCAACTTCTGCACGGCCTGGGGAAGGGGAGGGGGTCAGACCCACAGCATCACCCCACAGCTCCATATTGACCCACACTGAACGACAACATTACATCATGTCACCCCAACTTCTGCATGGTCTGGGGGGGAGAGGTGGGGGTCAGACCCATAGCATCACCCCGTATTGACCTACAGCATCAGCTCATAACGTCACCCTGACTTCTGCATGGCCTGGGGGCAGGAGGGGGGGGTGTAAAGGGGGAGAATTTGGGGTCAGACCCGTAGCACCCCATAATGTCACCTCATGGTGATCCACAGTATCACCCTACAGAGTCAACCCAATTTCTGCACGGGTTGGGGGGATAAAAGGGGGGAGAATTGGGGGGTCAGACCCATAGCACCCCATAGTGATCCACACGTGGGACAGAGCCACAGCACCCCGAAGCATCACCCCATAGCTCTGCACAGTGCTGCCCCAACTTCTACGTTACCTGGGGAGGGGCAACCTGGGGATCAGGGACCCCCAGCATCACCCCACACCAACCTCAGCCCTACTTTGGGACCCCCACCCCCCACTCTTGGACACCCCAGTTGCACTCCAGCCCCACTGCAAGACCCCCAGCCCCATTTCAACAAGACAACTCAGCCCTACTCTGCTCCCCTCACCCCATTTCTGGGACCGCGAGCCTCACTTTGAGACCATCCAGCCCCACTTTGAGACCACCCAGCCCCATTCCAGCTCCTTTTTGAGACCCCCCCGACCCCCCCTCACCCTGGGCAGCCCGGGCAGCTCGTTGTCCACCATGGTGGCCACGTGGAACTGCAGCAGTTTGACGTCCTCGGCGATGACGTGGGCAGCCGCCCCGTTCTGCTCATTGCGCCGCAGCTGGTTGTTGATCTTCACAATGTCTGCCAGCTTGTGGGTCAGGTCGTCCT